ATCATCATCATCATCATCATCGTCATCGTCATCGTCATCATCATCATCATCATCATCATCACCATCACCATCATCATCATCATCATCATCATTATCATCAGCATCAGCATCATCATCATCATCATCATCATCAGCATCTTCCTCGTCCTCCTCCTCCTCCTACCCTTGCTCCTCCTCCTCCTCCTCCTCCTCCTCATGCTCCTCATGTGCCTCCTCCTCATCCTTTTCCTCCTCCTCCTCCCCCCCTGCTCATCCTCCTCATCCTTCCCCCCTCCTCGTCCCTCATCCGCCTCCTCCACCGTTCCTGTTCTCCCACCCCCACTCCTCCTCCTCCTCCGCCTTCTACCCACCCCCACGCTCGTTTTCATATTCGTCGTCTTCAAGGTCGGCGGCACATGCCGTAAGGCATTCGCAATACAGGAGCCTGGGCCACAGGGCTATCATGAAGCTGGCACAAGGCACGAGTATGGGCCACATCGGGGTTATCATGAGGCTGCCACATCGGGGCGATCATGAGCATACCCACAATCTCAGCGCTCACGTGCAAATGCTATACCCCTGTTGGGCGCTCAAATGTCGTACATCGGATACCGCGACGATCATGAGGTTTCAAAAGACAAGGGGATGGGGTGCACACTAGGCAAACCGCGGCAAACCTCGCATAAATCAGGCAGCGAACGGGCCCGTGATATACTCTCTGGCGGCTCCCCTTTGGGGTGTTCATATACCACGCCTGCTACTTCGCGATGAGCATAAGGGCTCTGGGAAAAAAGGAGCCTGGTCAACCAATTAGACAACAACCTGAGACATCCCCACCATCTAAGCGCGAAAGGGCACATGTCAAACCCCCTGGCGGCTCCTTCTCGGGCTCCTCAAACGCCACGCCTGCGACATCGCGATGAGCATGGGGCTCTGCGTCTGATCCACCAAATAAATAAGCGAAACGCCAGAAACACCCCCACAGAGTGGGAGCGAACGGGAAAATGTTCTACCCCCTGGCGGTTCCTCCTTGGGATCCTCAAATTCCACGCCTGCTACATCGCAATGAGCATGAGGGTTCTGAAAAAGGAGAAGCCAGGCCAACCAAATAGGCAAAGCGCCTGAGGCATCTCCACAATCTGGGCGCAAACGAGCAAATGCCATACCCCTGGCGGCTCCTTCTCGGGCTCCTCAAACGCCACGCCTGCGACATCGCGATGAGCATGGGGCTCTGGCTGTGTGAGTGACGTGTGTTTGAATTTGAATATGGGTGAGATTGGCGTGTGTTTGTATGAGCGAGCCTGAATAGGCGAGAGTCTGAGTATGGATGGCATGGGGGAGTGCGAATCAGGATATCAATGGATCTGAGTGCGAGTGATTCTGACTATTGGTGTATATGACTGCCAGTAAATTAAGACGGAGAAAGAGGTGGGAGGCGAGGAATTGGAGGCGCCCAAATAATGATAAGAACCGAATGCTCAGGATATGGGGAAAAGAAAAAAGAGCAGGGGCAAGCAGGGAAAAGGAGCAGAGAGGAGCAGCGAGGTGGAGAAGCCTGCTGCCTCCGCCGCCTCGCCTCCGACGAGACCGAGGGCGGCGAGCTCACGCCGGTCACGCCGCCACGCTTCCTCGGCGGTATCCAGGCGCTGTCGTCGTCGTCGTCGTTGTCCACTCCTCCTCCTCCTCCTCCTCCTCCTCCTCCTCCTCCTCCTACTCCTTCTCCTCCTCCTACTGTTCCTCCTCCTCCTCCTCCTCCTCCTCCTCCTTATCAGCATCATCATCATCATCATCATCATCATCATCATCATCATCATCATCAGCAGCAGCAGCAGCAGCAGCATCATTGTAATCATCAGTATCAGCATCGTCATCATCATCATCACCACCACCACCATCATCATCATCAGCAGCATCAACATCAGCATCAGCATCAGCATCAGCATCATCATCACCATAAGCATTATCAGCATCATCAGCATCATCAACATCAGCATTATCAGCGGCATCATCATCGTCATCCTCTTCCTCCCTGATCCTCGTCGTCGTCCTCTTCGTCGTCATGGTCGTCGTCGTCGTCGTCGTCATCGTCATCGCCGTCGTCATCGTCATCGTCGCTGCCATCGTCGTCGTAATCGCGTCATCGTCCGTCTTTCCTTTCTTCTTTCCGTCCTCCTTCCCCTCTCTCGTCGACCTAGTCCTCATCCTCCCCTCGTTCTCCTTCCCCCTGAATCCCTCCCTCTCTCCCTTCCTCCTTCCTCCTTCCTCTCCCCTGTCCTCCTTCCTCTCCTCCTTCCCGTCTTCCTCTTCCTTCTCCCCGCCTTATGTTCATGAGTATCCCTTCCTCCTTCCTCCTTCCTCTCCCCTGTCCTCCTCCCTCTCCTCCTTCCCGTCTTCCTCTTCCTTCTCCCCGCCTTATGTTCATGAGTAGTATGATTAGTATCAGTGGTAGTGTAAGTCAGTTTCGTCATCTTACCATCTCCATCAATAATATAAGTACTGGTAATGTTATTGAACTGCGTGCCACGTTGTTAATACCATTGAAATATAACCCGTATGCCTGGCATTATGTATACTATTGTCAGTATTCCTTCATCGGTTTAGTATTGTGATTAGCCCCAATAATATGGTCATTCTTCTTGTCATTCGTATTACCCGTGTTCGTAGGATTAGTAAAGCTGTTGTCACGTGTATTGTTACTCCGTGTCCTCCTCATCCTCCTCCTCCTGATGCTCCGAATGCTCCGCTGGGCGGCTGCCCAAGTCACGAGCGGACGCCGCGACGGCATGCGGCCCACGCCGCGGCGGCCTCAGAAAACCGCGTCGACCTCTACGAAGCCGATGTCCATGGAACTTGCATGGAGCAGGATCACCCGCAGGCTCTGTCACACACCTACCAAGGCACGCGGGGCAGGATCACCCGAAGAATCTGTGACATCCCTATCAGGACAGCCAGCGTAGTAGATATCACCACCAACCAATAACCGTACATCAGAAGTAACTGCCGCAACTGCGCCACGAGAACTGCAAGGTACTCCAGAGACCACGCCCCAGAACAGAAGCTCTCGCGGAAGGCTCCGAAGCCGCAGTACATGAAGCATTCGTGGGGCAGGATCACCCGAAGACTCTGTGACACTCAAAAACATGCAAGCGGAGCAGGATCAAGCGAAGGCTCTGTGACACCCCTATCAGAGGCCAACGTAGTCAGACGCCACCCCCAGAATAAACAGTATGGCAGGAGGCCGCAGCAATTAAGGAACAGACGCCACAACCTACTCCAGTGCCGAAGCCTAGGAGGAGCGTAGAACTCCATGAAGCAGCCACGACCGCAGCACCGTGACAGCCTTATCAATGCCGACAAGGCAAAATCACCAGCAAGTCCGTGATACCCGTATCAATGCAGGATCACCCGCATTCTCTGTGACACCCCTGATATGAACAGCAACCGCAAGACAAACCACAAGCCAAAAAGCAGCACCCAGATCTTAACTGCCTCATCTGCGCGACGACGTCTGCAAGGAACTCTAGGAATCTTCCCTTGGCAAAACACAAATATATACTTGACCTGATTATTACGAATCGCAAGATCTTGTGCCGCGCCAGCAGAGTTTGAGAAACGTTCGCGTTGCATCACTAATCGACCGCGCACACCTCGTACAAATGCAAGCCAAACCATCCTATTGCAAAGTGTGTCCTGCGGCCGGCTGCGGCGCCGACGTAGAGTCAACCACCATCTTTTCAGGGAGCTCACCCCGGGCCAGGTGTTTCGCTTCAAATTTCCTTGCAACGTAATATCCTGAAGCTTGGCGCCGCGCCAACTCTTTTGAGTCCACAACCAGTGCAATGGAGGGGGGCTGAAATGCGGCTCTCGCTTTAGCGCCGCGCGCGTGCGGTTTAACACTTCCAACAATTACCAGGATGATGCCGGTTGGTTTTTACCATGCGGCTCTCGCCTGAGAACTCCTCAAATTCGGTGACCCGAAACTCGAAAGTGTGCAGCAGCTAAGCGGACGGAGGGCGACTCATTCTCCAAATGGGGCTATCGCCTTAGCGCCGTGCACACTCATCTTAAATACCGAACTGATAATCGGATGGGGGAGGGATCAAAATGCGGCTCTCGGCTTAGTGCAGCGCGCATTCGCTTTAAAAGCTTCTTACTGTCACAATGATGGAGCCTGGCTCTTGTCGACATGCGGTTCTCGGTTGAGCACCCCTGGAATGATATGACCCGAAATCCCAGCTTGCACAACAGGTGCACGGACGGAGGGCGGCTCCTCTTTCAAAAATGGGTTTCTCGCTCGAGACTTCTACAAATTTCAGAACCAAAACTCTGAAAAGGTGTAACGCTTTCACAGATGAAAGGAAGATCGTTTTCGAAACGGGGGTCGCGGTGGACACTTTTTCGAACGACATCATTCTACGAACGACTCGACTCGAAGGACGGGGAGGGATCCGTTATAGAACGAGGTCTCGCCTGAATGACAGGCCCAGCGGGCTCTCATCATTGACGGGATACGTTTGCCGCAATAGAGAAGAACACCTGCAAGGATCTACGATGATGGGACCTGGAATGGCAGGGTGCTCTACCTCATCGCTGACGCATCCGAAGTTTACTGTGGTCCTCCTCATCCTCCTTTTCCTCCTCCTCCTCCTCCTCCTCCTCCTGCGCCCCCTCTCCTCCGTCCACACGCGCGTACGTCCCTCCTCCTCGCCATGCCTCTTCCTCCGCCTCATCCTCCCCCTCCGCGACGACGATGACGACGACGACGGGGGCGTCGGCTGACCCTTCGGGAAGGAACGGATACAGTCATGGTGTCACCAGAAGGAACGCGGCAGAAAAGACGAAGGGGTCTTTCCTGGTTTCGGCAAGCCTCGGCCACGAAAAAGTTCCCCGACCGAAATCTGGGGAACGGCCCGAAAGTCAGAGCCAGTCCTGAACCCGAAGTGGCCCTTCTTTCAGCGCTTTGCCTGTCAGCACGGGGCGGCCGCGGCGACGAGAGCCCGCCCAGCGCGCGAACGACCCCTCTCCCTCTACGAGGAGAACGAGCAGCAGCAGCAGCAACAGCTGCAGTAGCGTGAAATGAGGCAGAAAGATGGGGTCCAGAGTTCCCGCCGGGTGCTGATAGGATGTTGCATGTGCTCGCGACGTCGGATCTCATGGCGCCACCGTGCCTGGGCCCCGACATAGCCGGCACGTACTCGATGGACACATCACGACATAGACATAAACTTCCGGAGGTCCGCGCTGCTTTCTTGGACCGGCGCTTGAAGCGCCGCCAGGGGGCTCCGGCGCCGATCCGAGAACTCCGCGCGGACTTCCGAACATTGAAACGTTTATGCATATTTTGCTGGCCCCTCGCCTCTGCGCGCAAAAGTGGCCCTGCGCCAGAATGGCCGCCAGTGCGCGGCCTAAGAGGAAGGGGGCGGCCTTGCGGGCACGCCGCTGGGGGGCAAACTCTGTTTCTCTGCCCAGGCCCCAAACTCCGATGAAGGTCTGATTCATGTCTGCGCTGGAACTCTGATTATTGTCTGGCCCTCAGCACTAAGTCCGATTTTGGCACGACTGGAACTCTGATTTAACTCCGGCCCGAAGGCCCTCAGTCTGATGTCGGTCTGACTGGGAGCCACTAAGTAATTATAGTTATAGTTTGGTTTTGGCCCGCCGAAAGCAATGTCGCGGCAACGCCCCAGAACGCTGCCGGGTCGGCCCCGTGCGCATGCGTCTCCAAGAACAACAATAGGAATGCGTAAGCCAAGCGGCAGGTCACAGCCGCCAGCTGCCAAATACTGCGAGCTGGGGCGGAGCAGCGCCCCTCGCCTGCGCGGCCCTGCCCAAAACTGCTCAATGGCAGCTGGGGCGAAAAAAAGCTCGCCCGAGGCTCGCTCATCACGGCCGCCGGCTGCCGCGCCGCGACAGGACCCGCATCGCGGTGACCGCCCCAATCCCCGCCGCCCGCCCGGGACAGGTCGGGGGCAGGGCGCGCGGAGGAGAAGCGCTGCACTTTTCGCCGCGCTGGGGGGCGCGGGAGGCGCCCTATGAGGTGCCCAGAACGAAGGTGGGGGCAAGGGGCAAGGGCAGGAACGATCGCGGGAACGAAGGCGGAGGCGAGGGCAGGAACTGGGGCGGGAACGGGGGCGGGGGCGATGGGCGAGAACGAGAGCGAGAACGCAGGCGAGAATGAGGGCGGGAACGAGGGCGGGAATGATGGCGAGAACGAAGGCGGGAACGAAGGCGGGAATAAGGATGGGAACGGGGCCGAGAACGAGTAAGATAAAGAGGGCATGAACGAAGGCGGGAGCGAGGACGAGAACGAGGGCGAGAACGAGGGCGGGAACGAGGGCGGGAACGAGGGCGGGAGTGAGGGCGGGAACAATGGCGGGAACAAGGGCGTGAGCGACGGCAGGAACGACGGCGGGGGCGACGGCGGGGGCGAACGCGAAAACGAGGGAAAAAACGAGGGCGAGAACGAGGGCGGGAAAGAGGGCGGGAACGAGGGCGGGAACGAGGGCGGGAACGAAGGCGGGAACGAGGGCGGGAACGAGGGCGAGAACGAGGGCGAGAACGAGGGCAAGAACGAGGGCGAGAACGAAGGCGGGAGCGAGGGCGGGAGCGAGGGGGGAGCGAAAGCGGGAA